ACTTTTAATTCCCAAGTTTTTCCTTAGCGAAAGTATATCATTTCACTTGAGTTTGCTTCTTCTGCTGAAAATCAGCGTCTATAAAGCTCACTGTTGATAGGTTTCTATTCATTTTCATTATCAACTTAGGGGCATCTTCCATGAAATGAGTAGATATCGAATCACTAGATGTTACGGAGAATCAAATACGCTTTTGAAGCAGGATAATGATCTTTAGTAAAGTTTGATTTTTTAAATAAAAAAGTTAATTACGAAGCTTAACCGAACTGCAAGGTTTCGTTTTCAGTCAAAAGAAGCTCTACGCAAGAATATTTTCATAAATTTTTATTCCATAGTCACAGACTTATCACCGCTGGAAACGTGAAAATTGGCCACAACTGAAATGTCTCTAACGAAAAAAAATGTTTTGAATTTGCTTTAACAATTACCCTACTTAAATGGATAGATGAGACAACAAAACGTTTGCTGAGATAGCTCAAAATAAGGTATTCCAATTTTATATCGCAGCCTCTTCAGTTTATTCAAATTGGACCATAAATGGAAAAAAATCCAAACGAAGGAAAGATACAAATACAACATACATTACTTTGTAAAAAAACTGAAAAAAGGCAACATATTTGGTTGGTGGCAACTACATGTTTGCCTTAGTTCAAGTCACTTAACAGAAATAAGAAAATTTCTCTCGAGTCAATATGCTTTAAGCAGAAAAACTGAACTAAAAGGCTAAATTTTTTTGTATGTAATTCGTCATTCAGCTGCAGCTGCAGTTCAACTCATTACGACTCATTTCTGACTTTAAGCTTAAACAAAAATTTGCATTTTCTTAACATCAACACTTTATATGGAGCGAATACTGATCTGGTATGTAATATACGCAACAACAAATTCTATCAAGGAAATTTTCAATCGCCCAAAAAGCTACCTTTATGTGAAAACCCGAAGTTTATAAACCCTACTGTGCACGAAATTAGGACTGCATCCTGACAATTTCATTTTTCAAACTCAAAGATAACGTACCATGACATGATCTGTACGGGCTAGCAATTGTTGTGTACTTGCTTTAAAACTGAAAATTATCTGAACGCACAAATAAAACAGTCTTTTGCATAAATTCAGCCTTATTACTACGATAACATCCAGCAATTGAGCCAATTATCTCCATCTGCAGATTTCCATAAGTTTAGTTCTCCTACATTCAAGACCCTGTACCGAGCTTGGAAACCTTGGTCACAACGGAAACTACCAGAATAGGATTTCACACTGTTTCGCCTAACGTTCCCTTACGTTGGCTGCAGATTGCTTGGATCGTTCCTCTATTCGGTTCACTTTTATTTGTAGTATTTAGCATCTAAATCAAAGTTTCCTGATTTGTAGAATTGAACAGCTTATACATCGGGGATACATTAGTTGGCCATACATTAGACCGTAGACCAAAAGACGGAATATCAGATCATAATATCAAGTCTGAATTCTTCACGGAGCGAATAGCCAATGGATATGATATATCTATTTGTATGAGAATGTAAGAGTAAGAAGCTGTTAAAATCAGAGAGGAATTAATTCCAGGGATGTTCAATATCTCATTCAAGAAAGAAAAACATGAGAATTAGCTTTTAATCAAATTTTACCTTAAAGTAACTAAATACTGAAGAATGCAATCATGATTACTTTGCGACAGTATCATGCTAGGAAGCATAGGCGTTGAGGAATAGACCCTCCCCCATAAAAGCTACGGAATTTCAAAATTGAGCAAATGGTCCTCAAATCGAAGAAGAGATAGTTCAAGAACTATATACTGAAAATTGTTAAGTCCATACAACAAAATTTATCGTAGATGTGATAATCTGAAATTGTTCATTATCGTATGTCGTTTTAAGAGTGATAAAAATTTCCTCCACAGTTTAATATTTAGTGGTTTTAACCCTGATCCTGTGTCACAAAGGGGTATGCTAAGATGATCAGTATATTCAGCATGTATATACATGCTACATGTCACCCTCAAAATATGTTGCTCTACTCAAAAAAAACGGTGAACACTCGGTGCATTGAATTACTGGGACACGTAGGACAGAACTATAAAATCTCAGCGTGGTCATGTCATAATAGTTTCATAGTACAACCTCAGGAACAAAAAAAATTTATAACGATTGTAAATCCATGTTTCAATTTGTTATTGAAGAAAAATGTAGTTGATGGCGATAAAAAGCCATCATTCAGAGCAGTTCTTCCTGGGAAATTTGAAGTTGAGGTCAAAGCTGAAATGACTGTGAAAAACTTAAATAATATTGATACACTTCCAACATAATGCAAAACGTGTGTGACTTATTTCCATGCATCATGGGTGGGACTTGCACCATTCTGCCGATGCAATTTGTCGAAGAAGGCAACTCGAAAGGGGTGTCAGACTGATTCAAATTCTCGTAAGTCCCTTTTCGTAAGGAGAGATCTACAGCATTGCTAATGATTTGAAATTGGGGCTATTGCAATTACATAGTACCTGCGTCCCTTCAATGTCATCTTCAGACATTTCTGAAAACAAAGCCAAACTTACGAGCTTGAAAAAAGGTTTCGTTCAGCAACCTTGTAGAGCCTAACTCATTGCCTTACACTCTGACAGTCTTTTTAAACATGACTGATAAAACCCAAGAATGAAAGACAGTAATCATACCTGGTGTATCACCAATTTATAACCGACAATTAGCAACAACTTCTGCTATGAGGGTAGGATGGTTTGTAAGTCAACTCTCTGAGTTATATGAAATACGTTTATTAATTTACTTCGATCTGCGAAATTGTGTTCATTGCTTCATGCAACTTAAGTAAACACATAAGCCAGTCTTCGCTTAAATCAGCGAGTATTCTCAAATATCTCAAATTGTCAACTTGTCGAACCATAAAACAAATATTTAGCTTTCAGATTTTATGCTCTCCTAGTTCAATTGGAAACTATGGAACTGTGGAACGGTTGATTTGAACAGCATCAAAGAAGTAGCAACCATTTTCACATTTATGGCTATGCGAGTTAAATAATGAGTTCTGTAGTGATCAAGGAGTACGAAATTTTGTTCATCAATTTGGTAAATCGCCAAATATTTATGCTTTGAGTTCTGAACTGTAGAGTAAACAAAGAAGTATATGCGATAATTCAAGCTTTGCTGGTTCTAAAAAATGTTCGCGGTCTAAGTTGGAAATAAATTTCCACTAACCTCAAAAATGAACGCGAGTCCGGGCTTTGCCTTTGTGTGTCGTTTTCTGAAAATCGCTCAATGAACAATAAACAGTTTATAAAACCGCTCATTAGCTAAGGGTGAGCGCCGCACCAGCTCTTGAGGGCTATTTGCTCTTTTGTTCGGGGAAAGTCAACAAACATTAAGCCTATTAAGTCCTTCCGTCACGGTCGAGGTCTTTACAAAGTGTTTCTTCTCGACGAGTTTTCAGATTCACTTGACAAGTTCTGAGCAGAACTGATGTTCACTAATTACTTCTTTACAGCCAAGCCATGAAAACTGACACACAGCTTTAATTTCTTTTCCCCCGTCATTCTAGCCTCAATGGATTGGGCGGAGAAAGAAAACAAAAGATAGGCGATTATAATCACTGTTGAATATTTAAAACTTCACCAGTAACCTGTCAGGACTTTGAAAGACTCCATCTGTCCGGATAATGACAATTTTGCGAGCTTTCGGTGAACCATTCTTTCTTTATAGGCGCGCAAGATGACTAGCGGGTAGAAAACTGGTCATAGATTGTGAAAGAAGACAACGAACTCGGTAAAGCAGGTGACAACTGAATCTCAGTAAAGCTCAGTTAAACATGTAAAATGGTACTTCATTCGCAGATTTTTACTTTTATTGTTCCATTTAAACCTTTTTGAAAATGGAAAGGAAACATCGGGTGAGAAAATTCTATAACTGCGATATCGTAACCTCAAGCGACAGCTCTAAACCACACTAGTCAAGTTAATTTCAAAGCAGATTTTCTCAAACAAACTTCCAAACAGTGCACTGAACCCTTATTAAAATTTTCCTTGTCTTTCCCATGTTTTTAGCGGGAAAAAGATCTACGTCTAGAGTTGAAAATAAACATGAACACCTACTCTTTCAAAGTCAATAAAATCTGAATGATAACACAAGTAAACAGTGAGCTATCGAAAGCAGTGGGAGAAAAATAAATATTGGGATGACCTGAACAGCACTCTAGCAAAGTAAACACATCGCCTGTAATTAGTCCTGATAACGAACTTGGAATATGTCGGGTGTGTTTTCCTGTACGCAACTTCCTCGTAGAAATACTATTAATTTCTACAGTCCGTGATTTTTTTTCCCTGTTTTTGTAACATTTCAACCAAAGACAAAAGGTTTTTTGTGCGATTCATTCATCTTTTACACCAAACCCCAAAAGCGAATATCATTTCCCACAATGTAATTTTTTGCGGCGCATTTGTTTGCGATCGCCTAACCGTGCAGACATTTTTCACGAAAATGCAAGACTTTTCAAACATGACAAGCAAATATTTTTTTCTTGAGGAATATGCTAACCATAAATATTTGGACTTGTTTCAAAAGAAAATTTACATTTTTATCTGTAATTCAATATATTTAATGAAGAAAGTTTATATACCTTTCATAAAGCCAACCCCTCCGGGTAAACTTAACCGCTAACTTAACTTTTGAAGGTCATTGAGTAAATTCTCAACAACAAAATAAACAACTGTTCACAAAAAAACGCTGATTTTCAATCTGGCGTTTCTAAATAACAGTTTGGAACATTCACGAAATTACCCACATGAGCATAGAAGAAAACCTCAGTATCGTGGATAAAAAGAGGGGGGCTTGTAATCTTAGACGCGCGGACGTTTCGCCAAATGACCGAGAATTATCACACGAGACTACCTGCAGCTCCGGCATCTGCACGCGCTACTACACGGTTGACAAGCTTGCTTTAACTTGTTCCACCTGCTACCAAAACTTCTCTTTTGTGTTAAGCTACTCTCAACTTACCTAAGAACTGATGATATGTGGTTTAAATCCAACCTGACGCAAAGTCGTGTTTCTTAGCACTGCTACGTATCAAAACGTGGTGCGTCGCACACAAAATGTCGCTCAGCCAAGTTACGACGAGGAATTTCCTACGGAAAAATCGGTGAATGAGATACTTGTTAGCTTGATTTATCCGACGCGACATATTTAAGACACACCTCATTAAGAAAGGTCTCTTCGTTGCTTTTGAATAATTATTAGTCAAACAAGTCGTTAGCAAAACCTGACTGATGCGCTTAAACAACAGAAAACTAAATTAACCTAAAAATATGTACAAAAAAAGAAAAGTACGATATGCTATGGTTGGAAATGATAAAATACTTGTTAGTTTTATTTATTTTATATTACTATGCCAATGAACATTTCTGGTCTTTATTGCTCTACTCGTTAAGTTCTTACTTTTAATTTTAAAAATTCTCCTTTCATGTATCGATACACTGAGTTTGTTTCTGGGTGGGAGAATTTGTTACTAATCACTACTTTTTGTTAGATTATTCAGAAAAGTTAGAATCAAATTTTTGACTGAAGGAGGAAAAAATCATCGATGGTGCCTTCCGGTAAAATGAGAGTCATTTTATAAATAACAACGCCAGATTTCTATTGCTCTTCACAGAGTTTTACGGGAAAAGTCGCTCTAAAGAAGGTCCAAGATAAAACGGCAAGAACTGACTTATGGCTTGGAGAATGGGCGTATGCACACGTGCTATACAGCTCAAGTTCCTTTCATAACCTGCCCTATTAACACTTCTACGGTGAATGAATAAGTTTGACCACCAGAGAGAAAAACAAAACAAGAGAAAAACAATGCAATTATGTTGACTAAAAATAAACGAACTTTGTCGTTTTGAGAAAATACGCAAAACCTTAAATGCTTCATTATTGGTATGATATATGACCTACAAATCCCTAAAAACTGTGGATATCAACTTTGCCGGATTCAAGGGGAATCCTCTAAACAATGTCGCGAATGGCCAGTTCACCTCCTTGCATGCACAACCCGTTAATTACAAAAAACAAAAAAAAAGAAAAAAAAAAAAACGACTTCCCGTGTACTTGGAAGACAAAATGTTGAGAACATGGCTTGGGCAAAGGGCAAAATTAACTTCATCTCATAAAACATATCCTCGTTTAGACTACTGGTACCATGTAACATATTCAAAATCATGTGGAAAAGCTTTTTGTTTGAAATGTTTCAATTTCAAAATAAGCGAGATTGTTCTTTACCTCAGCAATATCAAAGATATCGGTAAATAGTAAATTCTTTGTTATATGTGCACTATTTGTATAGCTTTCATAAACCAAGGAAGTGCTAATAGATCTTGTTTCAACACAGACGTTCTTCTCAAAGATATGGTAGTTAGCCTGTTCTTTCCTTTAAATGATGTTTGTCTTTGCATGTAAACATGGTAAACGTCTGGTGTAATCTTCCTGCACATACAACTGCGACGTAATTACATAGCACTTCCAAATAAATGACCTCTTAACCCAACATAACGGACTAAAAACAGCTAAATAATCAAAACGATTTAAACCAACTAACGTATGATAATTTTTCCTTCAGAAACTCTTGGAAATAACCGACTTAATGCAATTTTAGGTAAAACACATTTACCATTTTAAAGTAGTGTAGGAGTTTCTTTACCGCAAACAGATTTCCAAAAATTAACATGATTTTAATTTTTCTCTCAGGAGAGACTTTAGAATGTGTGGTGAAATCCTTTTTTTTTTCGTTAAAGCTTATCTTTTAATTCATTAAAAATGTCTGCAAAGTTTAGTAAACGGAATAAACGATTCAACGTCTGGATACTCTCCTCAGTGAAGAATTTATTTTAACAAATTGGAAATTTCCTGTAACTGAAGAAGGCAAGCGCAATGAATAGTACGATAGAACAATCAGAGAAACGTTTATTTCAGGGTGGATATTCCATATTTGTAAAGCAAGCAAACACTTTGAAATTGGGTGAAGAACACTATCATTTTATTGCCATATGCGCACCAGTAATCATCTTGGTGTTCTTTTCCAATCGCAAGAACAGTACATTAAATTGTAACAATAAACCGAAAAACCTAAAAAAAACAAAACAAAACAAAAAACTAATAATAGCAATGATAATCCTGAAATAAGTCTTTTTTAGGTGTTTGGCAACCTCGACTATAACACAAAACGGTTTTACACGTAAATTCATATCGTACCATTTTCGCCCATATTCCTGAGACTCTTTCTAATCGACAATATAGCAGTACATGAAATAATTTAGTCCCCCGGTCTATAAGTAACAATATTTGACCAAACTTATCTCTTATTTATTCACTCATCGCTCGTGACCTGTAACCTGAGTATTTCTTCAACAGTAAACAGACGCAAGAGCCAAAATAGAGAACTGATTCGATCATTGAAAAAAAAAATGAAGAAAGGACGAAGCTCTTAGGGACATAAATCCCATCAAGTACGAACAAGACAACAACCATGTAGAAAGAAATTAAAAGTCATGATCATGACCACATAAAATTATCCTTTCATCTCAATGTTTTGGTCTCTTTTAACCTGATTTGGCCCCGAGCCTTCCTACTAAATGCAGACGTGTTATGCAAATCCAATCAACGATAAATATTCCACAATTTCCCTTGTAAAATTAGTAAACAGATCTAACTAAAATCTCCCGCGACAATATGCAACTTCCGAAATCGTAAAATCAACGTGTCCCAAATGTTTCATGCATTCATTGCATTACAATCGGTGTTTTTTTCATTTAACGAAATGTTAAAATACGAACATCGATTCAAACGTTTATCCTGATTAAAAGCACAAGAACATTCCTTGAAAGTCGCCATTCGCAGTCGCCTATTTCTCATGAATTTTAAGTTATAACGTTATTCATTTCTTTCGGTAACTGAATAAGGCTGCCTTTACCAGTAAAAAGTGCTTGTTATCAATTATTTCTCTCTAAGAGTGTTAAAACCAGTATTATGTTAACAGTTTACAGTAATATTTAATGATAAAGACAGGAAGAAAACCACATGCCTTACTGTACAATAGAGTAATTTGACCAAATTTAGTTTTTTTGGCATATCCGATATTTCTGTATTTTGTTGAAAACTCTCGAAATCTGTGGTTTGCTCCATTCACAATGCATTCCTTTAGAAAGTTAATTGCATCCACAGTTAAAACAATTGTCATAAGACTGATTTCCTGTTATACTGTCTTTTAATATACTTTATATGGTCGAGACGAAGACAATTGAAAACTAAGTAGAAAGCAAACTCCATTCATTTCCTGCTTAATTAAAACCAGAAATTCACCTGAGATCCCAGCAGTTTTTGCTACTCGCTACTGACCGACTCATTGTATTTTAAGACAATGAAGAAGTGGAAACTATTAATTTAACGTAAAAAAGATTAAAAATAACATTCTGTGTTTTGAATACACTTCATTGGAACAATTTGACTCTAATTGTTTACCTTTCTATAAGAAAAATCTTGTCAGTTTCTCGTCCTGCGGGTAGTGAATAATCCTTTCCGCTCTTTTTAATTTTGACAACAAAGACAGTTTAGACTGCCCTGCGCTGTGTTTTTTCCTTCTTTAATAATCCATTACAGATTCCATTTCCTTCATGAATTATACTAACAATTAGCCAAGGTTTGAAAGAGAGACTTCTGGTGCGGCGCTCTTTGGCTTGTAAATATTAATTATAGAAAACAAACGAAGCGTTTTGCAAAGTCCACAAGTCATCTTCCTCTCCTGCGGCTACTAAAAATCAATTTAACAAGTTTTTCCACATCAATTCTAACATGATTCGACCGCTGAGGCAAGACTAATTATTAAAAGGTCAAACTGTTAACAAGAGAAAAACTCTAGTATATTTTCGGTGCCGATAGATGTTTTCAGTTAATTTGACAATTGGCGCCAAAATATCGAGCGGCGATCGGTAAAGAAAGTCATATTTGTCAAGAAATTTGTGATTCATAACAAAATAAAACAAATCTTAGACATGATTCTTTACGGTTTTCCTTACGCTTTTAACTTTGAATTAAAATATGAAACACCGAAGCTACGCTGTCCGCTCATTCCTTTTAAATCCCTTTATGAATTTGGAAACCATTCTTGAAAATAAAAACGTTTCTCCACCGCCTGTATGTGGCGTCACATTGTCCGAAATAAACTGCGGCTTCACGCGATGTTTTGAGGGTCCAATTTCTTGATAGATAAAAAGAAAAAGGAAATTTTCTATGTATTCCTTCATAATTGCAAATAAAATACTGGGATGGTTAACTAATTACACGCCATAATTAGGTCGATCTCGGAACTTGGGTTTTTCCCCCTTATCTTAACATTATGGCTGCTTTAAGGAAGTCGGCTCATTTAATGCAGTATTTATTCAGTCGAAGCTAAAATTTCAAAATTTGATCAAATAGGGGGCTACTATCTTGTTAGTTTTTGAAACGATAAAACAACAAAGCATTACTGGAGTTTATATATCATTTGCTATCGATTTCCTGAAATCTATATAAAACTGGATCAACTCAGCTCATCATTCATTTCTCCAACAGGAAAAGGTTTCACCTGTGTCAAATTCTATACGAATTTATTTTTTATACCTTAAAAGTTGGATCGTCATTTACTTTTCTTCAAGTGCCCTTAAGTTCAAAAAGATCAGAATTCCAAATTTGGTTCTCCATAAACATTCACATCGAGCTATGAATACGTATTACTATTACAGAAATCGACAAAGCCAATTTTAGCAAAAAGGTCACGCAAATAAAATTACTGAAGGATAAAACCGAAATTCATGGATGAAAATTGATTTTTTTAAAGATACTTCCTATTCCGTGGAGCTCTTACCTCGCCTTTTAACTCAGTTTCCGAAAGAGTAAGGTATTAATTCATTTCACTTAGTAAGATCTCATATGTGAAATGTCTAAATTGCATTAAGAAGCGTGGGGATTGAATTTCACAAAACACTCCCATCCACAAACGGAAAGATGAATTAAAAGCGACTGAGTACAAGATGACAACTGTACAACCGTACTGAACTACAATAGTTATTTACTTTTCTCGGCACGTACGAGTGAGTGATAACCGGTTCATTAATGTAAAATAAATATAACGTCGATGAAGATAGTCTAAATGCACGTACCGGCGATGTATTTTAAAATTCAGCAGTATACAATATTAAAGCATTGAGCCATTAAGTCATATGACAGCTTTTTGCCGCTTCGTTCTGTCAATTCATAGACACCGTATGTTCGGATGAAAAGCGAAATTTAAATACGTAGAAGTTTTGAGAAACAGATAGGTCTTTGAGCTATCGAATTTCGCCAACACATTTGCCAGATGCATTCGATATCCCTAGTTTCGAAAACTTCACTTTTCCCTTTTGACCACGTTTTAAATTCGAAAGGTTTGCCACAATTTAGATCGCCTAACATATAAAGTAAGTTCTTTTTAAAGACCCATATGAAAGCACGATAATCTTTTGTCATGGGTATCTTCCCTTTTCGTTTATATATTAAATTATTGGGGGCCTAAGTAGAAATATAAGTTTACGATAATGGTCTGAACTTATCTCTTGACGATGTATCTCACGCACTTATCCCATAGTGATGCCTTTCGCTAGAATATCGTGTAACATTGGGAAGTTTCGAACTTTTCAAGCGCGCAGCGCAGTGACTTCTCTGTTCATCAATTGAATCACTTAGCTAACATAACAAATATTTCCGCGCAGAACGTTTATATAACAACAGTGAAACTCCAAACATGTCAAAAACCGGGCACATCGGGTTAAGGGTAAATATGAAATCGAGTAAACGCTAAGAAAGATCAATATTTGTTGTAAACTACTCGGATGGTATTTTATGAAGCCTGAGCAAAGTAAACAAGAATGTTGCATCTCACCTCTTAAACGATCAAGGTTGACAAACAATTTGAACAGCTCAGAAATATGCGATCTTCAATCCGCGGGACCTGATAAGGAGAACAAAACTGTAAACTGAAGTCGAGTTTCGCAGAAAA